GGTCCGAATCCTTCCATAAACCCAAAGACTTCGTTATCAAGGTCTGTATCAGTTAACCCACTGATTAAAACAGCATTTGAAACTTTGACCTTTTCTGTTTTCACAACTTCCATTTTAAAACACTCAAAAGTACCAATAATGCCAAAATGGCAAACCACTGTGACCTCCAGGCACTCTTATGATGTCAGTCAATGGTTAGCTAAGGTAACAACTCTACAATTCTCCTGGCTGGCTCGCCAAGTTTTATGTAACCGGATTACAGGATACAATAAGATAATTAAAAGAAAAAATAAACAAATGGGCCAATAATTAGGTTCGGGGAGAATTGGAGGTTGTTTAAGAATGACTGGAGTCACGGGTATAGCATGAAACGGTTTATATACTAAATTTTAATAATAACGGGAAATATAACACATAAAGATAACACACAAAAACAGATGAAAACAATCGACAATAGTAAAATGCTCGGTATGAGATTTGATCATATGAGTCACAAGTCAGCCGGCGTCAAGTCAAATCCCCACGCTTGGGGTGAAAGTCAGAGTCCGGTGGTGCGATTTTTTCCTACCACACCGTTGAGATTGTTCACAGAAGAGAGCAGTCTGCTCTTCAGTTACTTGAGATGTCCTGGTTCGTTCAGTGGTTAAGGCTCGCCATCTCCCTCGTCAGGAAGAAATCCAGTTCTCGTTCCAAGTGAGTGATCATAGGAGTCGGGATCAAACCCAAGGAAAAAAAAAAAACCCAGCCTGTAAACAACAGGACTGTTAGCGAGTTGGCATCGACCCTTCTCGTCACATCACAGCATAAAGTCTTACAGACTTAAACAAATGCTTCACTCTATTGGCATAGCCAATCATGTTTGGGTTCACAGTTCAACTAACATAACATCAATTTGATTGTCTATTAAAATAATTCTCAGTAGCTCTGGAAATATAATTACATATGACAACAATTGTTCAGCTCAATAGGCTCAGTTAGATTCTATTACTCTACACTATTCGACAAGAAATACATTCATGACAACAAGGATACATTTAGTTGTGTTTCTATACAGCATTGTGACACCTTGTATATCTGTAACACAATAAATAAATAAATAAATAAACAAACAAATAAATAAATAAATAAAATTTTCTATAACAAAATTAAACAAAATATAAATTCTGGTCCTTTGGTCCACCTTTGTAAAATAATTCCTCCCTAATCAGTTAGCTTTTATTTATTTTTATTTATCTATTTTTTTTTATTATTAAATGTTTGGTTAAGGGACGCATTGCTAATTCTATGGCGTTAGCTATAACGCCCCTGAGGACCTTGTACATCTAGGCCGTACCGCCATTAACTGGCGGTTTGAGCCGTTAACTCCTGGGAATCCCATATGCCGTACCGCCGTTAACTGGCGGTTTGAGCCGTTAACTCCTATATGCCCTACCACCGTTAACTGGTAGTTTGAGATGTTAACTCCTGGGATCTAACGTCTAGCAGCCCACTGCTGTCACCTCGGTTGCTGTAATTAGCTTTTTGAATTTAATAATTTACTGAATTTAATCTCATTCACTCACCAACGCGCTCCAACGGTTCCCTCCTACAGAGGATTGGTTCACTCTGTCGTCTCCACACAAATCTATAAGAATGGAATTAATTTGATAAGCTATTTAAGTTTCCTTTTTTTTTTTTTAAGTTGCATCGTTAGCTTTTTCTCTTCTTTTTTCTTTACTCACCGCGTTGGTTCCAAGTTCCTAGCTCTTATTAGAAGGAGTCAAGTCCGCCTCTCCCTCTATCTATGCGGCACCCAAATCAGGGTTCTTCACGGCCTCGACCGTTGTTTTTTTTTCTCTCTCTCTCTCTCTCTAACCGCTCAGTCTTTGCTTTCTGTATCTGCGTGCTGCACAGCCGTTTGTCTCTCCTCTCGCTCAGCTGCGTCGCACGGTTTTATTTCGCGGAGGCGGGACTTATTTCTCTCAGCCAATGAAATTTCAGATTCCCACCTGGACCAATAGTATACAGCTTTCCTCTTCTGTTTCTGTTAGGGATGTTCAAGATTCTTGTTTTAACCGATGTTTAATATTAAACTCGTTATTTTAGTTATTCACCCTTCCAATAATTCATTATGAAATTATCTATTAGTTAATTAGATATCTATTAATTAGTATTGTTAATTTCCTTAATTTATATTTTATATTTTATCTAAATTGAGGATGGATCATATTAGTAAGCCAATTAGTTAATACCTCATTAAGGTTCTAGCTTCTGGGTTACACTACCAGACGCACAGTGTAAGCAGTTAGGTCGCATGCGAGAACTGGGTCGTACAGTGTGAGCGCAGGACTCGTGAGATCTGCTCTGCGAGGAAGTGGTACAGTTTGAGCTGAAGCTGAGTGCTACGAGTGAAAAAGTCGCACAGTGTACGCCCGGCTTTAAGGCAAGGATGTGTGGAATCAACCGGGCCGACTGGGCCTACCCGGCCCGGGCCGACCAGGTACAGATGGGAATGGCCCTTTAGTTACGGCTTTTTTTTCTTTTCTTACATTGTCGCTATGTCTGTCACGTTTACAGTGTTTTACCATCATTTCTACATCCATCACGTCCCAGAGAATGTTAAACCAACATCAAACTCAATGTTTGGAGCTTGTAAGCTCCACACACCTCTCGTGCAGACCAGCTGTCTGATGTTACAGCAGCGTCAATCTTTCCGGCTGGATGAGTGAATTTCTTCATCAGAGTCAATATTCTGCTTCATAATCAGAGTCAGTCATTACCAGACAAAGTGATCAGTCAACAAAGACCAGACCTGCCGGCAATTGTACATTTTATCTCATATTTGCGCTCTTCATGTTGCGCGCATCTCCTCCTCTCCCCGACTGGGAGCCTCTCAGCAGGAGGCGTTTTTCAAACTTTAAAAACTCCCAAACTTTGCTCAGCCTGAAGGTTCCACATCTCCACTATCTTCTGGTGTAAAGTAGTAACTTCATGAGGGATCATTTGTAGATGAGACTTGTTAAAGTCAGCAATGAGGCGTTGGCACTTTTAACGAGTAAGTCCCAACACTGACAACAACGTACTGAATCTAGAACCAACATGCATAAACAGACAGATCGGTCCCGCCTACTTACCCTGTTGGTCTTTTTTAAATATGCAGTAATCGTTGCTTGCCTTTTCGCTTCATCCTGCCTCCCAGCAGCAACCACTTAGGCGCCTTTGGAGTCTGTGTTTGTTTACGTCATGCTGCATTCAATGTAATTGGAAAAAGGAGCTTCAAGCGCTTAACCTCCGATTTTGTTTTCTTTCTGGCCTTAGTTGGGGGGGGGGGGGGGGGGGGATTGGGGTCAATCTGAATCTCGGGGAGACAGATCCCCCCGTCCCCCACCCTATCTGCGCGTCTGCTCACACATGTACAGTTGGATAGACAAATCTCCCGACATGTTAAAAAAATGCGGTCACAAAGGTTCAGATACGCTAAATAATGTTTTCTCCAAAAAAAAAAAAAAAAAAACTACTAAAATGTCCAACTGGAGTCGCCCCCTCAGCTTCTGCTCAGAGGAGGGGGCGGGGTTTCAGCTCTAGACCAGCTCAATCTGACTTTGCTCAGAATAGGGGTAATGGAGGGGTCTGTAGATCTACACTAATGAGGAAATCTCACCAAAGAAAGGCCGTTTCACTGTTTTTAGACACCAACTGAATAATGAAGCTGCAAAAAGAAATAATGTAAATGAATTTTATGTCCCCTTTAAAGGCTAAATTTTGCCCAACTTTGTGAATAGGTGATCATGTCGAAAGCCATATTGACTGATTATCTTTATGGACAGATGATCCGTGATTATTTTGACACATTTTGTCTTGCTAACATTTTAATCGATTAGAATTAGCTAGGAATGCTCCCTACCAATCACATGATTTGAAATTGGGCCAGTTGTGTGATTTTCATACGATCAAAATCGGGTTGCAAAGATCAGATTTTACATTTTAAAACAAGTGTGGCCATTTAAATTCACCCTGAGGCAGAACAGTCACACCTAACAGTGATTTAGTTTTAATTTTAACATGTTTCCCTACAACAATATTATTTGGACAGCAAAGGCAATGCAACAGCCACACAGCAGCGTGTGTGAATTGGGTATATTGCGTGTTGGAAAATAGAGACCTGCATTCAACACTGAATCTGATACGACAAATTAAAAAACACAATGTTGCCACATTGTATCACCTTTCTGCGTTTAGTCCTAGTCTGCCACTTTAAAAACAAACACTCAAAATGAAGCACACTATGAGTTCATAGCCAGCTGATGCTGCACAATGCATTAAACAAAAACGAGAAATTGTCAATGGACAGCCGTTATGTCACAGCCAGGATGGCTGTATTTATTTATTTATTCTTTGCTTTATTATTTTTAATTAAAAATGTTTGGGGGCAAATTTTCTTCAATGATAAAAATGTGATTAATCAAGATTAATTAATTTCAAAGCCTCTAATTAATTAGAATAAATTTTAATCGAGTCCCACCCCTAGTTATTACACAAGCAGGTCTCAGGTGTTTAGCAGAAAAGAACAGGCCCAGCAGCCGTGTCCTGTTGCAGGATTGTGCATTGCTCATTACAGCCAAATTATATTTAAACATTCAATCCATCCATCCATTGTCTATACTCGCTTGTCCATGCAGGGTTGCGGAGGGGTATATTTAAACAATTTGAAATCAAATATATGAGGCTAGTTTTTGATACCTTTTATATATATTTGTAAAACTGGCACATTTCTTACCAATGTACTTCCCGAATGATTGATGTTTTTGCCAGATGAACTAAGGAAATGACTAATAGAGAAAGAAAGAAAAATATAAATGGAAAGAAAAACGACTTAAAATGCAACTTGGAGGTGTTCTTTTATTTTGCTTTATCTGATTGGGACTCAAACTCTGATTGGGGGCAAAAATGGGACCGAAACCTCCCTAGAATTCGTCTTTTAAAAAAATAACAAGCCACTCAAAGAAGCTATGTTTTTTTAGGTATTCAGTCAGCTGCGACGGTCCGGAGTGTGGCTGTTGGCCCAAGTCGCCGTTTACTTCCTGTTCCTTTTCCTTCAACTCCTTTGAGAAGTTTCAAGGAAGCAAAAAGACCTCGTCTGGAGTTTGAAGAGCAGGATATTTCTACTAGATCCGCTAACCCTGACTCATCATACCACTCTGCACAACCCGTTACGGCCAGCACAGATTCCTCTTGGCTTAGGTGAGCTATAGTTTGTTCATGTGGTTTTAAAACTGGTAATTTAGCACAATGGCTATTGCTATTTTTACAATCACAAGCTTTGTGTCTGCGTCATTATCAAATAATATAAAACTAACATGCCAATGGAAAACAATGTGTTTTATTCGTTGCAGTCCCACAGCAGCAACATCATCATATGAAGATGCAAAATTCATTGTTTTTGAGAAATGCCTCCTCAGCCTATTCGAGACGTGCCCTGCGTGCACAAGAGACTGTGACGTCCAATCACGCAGAAGAGGGACGCTCTTGACTGTTGAGCAGCTCTGCCCACATTGTCGGTTCTTCCGACGGTGGAATAGCCAGCCAATCATCAGGAGCACCCCCGTGGGCGACCTTCATCTGTCGGCTGCTGTACACTTCTGCGGTGAATCGTTTGAAAAGACGAGGAAGGTAATGTGAACACTATTATCAAAAACATACCTGCAAACCTGTCGCTTTTTGGTGAAAATTGCCATTTTTGAAGCCAAATATGGTGTTCACATGAATCGTATAGATCCAAAGAGTTTTTGTTTTGAGGGGAGGGAAGGGGGGAAGTCTTCGGTTGGGTTTCAGTCACTCTGTATGAGAATCAATCAGAGAAAGGGGGGGATTCATCTTGTTCACAAACCGTCTTTGCTGTTTCGTGCTACGTGTCGTCATTTGACCAATCACAGTTGCTGAGACATCAGGCCAATAACTTAAGACAATTAAATTCAGAAAACAATGAAATCTCACGTGGAGCCCTCATGGCCTGTTTCCACAAACTGAGTAAGAACAACTGTGAATGGAGGATCCCTCTGTGGAGTGTGTCATGCCCACAGAAAGTCTAAATGCCTCCTGCATGAAAATATATGTTTATGTTCATGTATTTAGCAGACGCTTTTGTCCAAAGCGACTTACAAGTGATAATCGGCGAGTTGCCCTTGAGGCTAACAACAACAACAACCAATTTCCAGTCAGTCATAGGCGGCAGTGAGGCAGCATGATGAATCATGGAGAGGAGGGAACAAGGAGTGCAGTAGAGAGGGGATGGGTGCAGGGAGGGTGCTAGGGTCTTCAGGAGTTTCTAGAAAGTTGAAAAGGAAGCCCTTGTTCTGGTAGTGCTTGGTAGGTCATTCCACGTTTGTGAAACGATGCATGAGAAGAGTCTGGCTTGTCCTGAGTGCTGTGTAGGCACTGCTAGCTGACGATCCTTTGATGACCGGAGCGGCCGGGCCGAGACTAAGCCTTTGCAAGAAGATTCAGGTAGATGGGAGCCGTACCATCTCGGACTTTGTATGCTAGTGTTAGCCATTTGAATTTGATGCGTGCTGCTAGCGGTAGCCAGTGGAGCTTATTGAACAGAGGGGTGACGTGTGCTCTTGTTGGCTGATTGAAGACCAGACGCGCCGCTGCATTCTGGATCATTTGAAGAGGTCTCACAGTAGAGGCTGGAAGACCAGTTAGAAGGGCCCTTCGTCAATTTTTGTAGTGACAAATTTAACTTGGATGGTTTTTATAAATTGTCCAACCTTAAATACTAATAAAACATTTGAGTTTTTAAGAATCTTTAAATGCCTATTTATTTTCTTTGGTTTTCAGGTGTTTGATGCAATGCGTCTGAAAACTCACACCGATGATGTATTCAGAAGACATGTCAGCTCCTACCTTGAGCCTGCCATAATACACAGTTGGAATGCAAAGCAATGCACGGCTCTTCAGTCACTGACCGAAGAAGACCAGGTCATCATAGGAGGGGATATGTGTGCAGACTCGCCAGGTGAACATTTACTTCAGAGTTTTTTGGTGTGGCCTCCCATTACTTTGTTGCAGTGTTGTGGCATTGGGGTGAATGTTTTTATTTTTTCTCAACGTGTATTGTAACAAAAATAACATCACACTAAACCTAATGTGTTACAGGACATTCAGCAAAGTATGGGTGCTACAGTGTGATGAACATGCAGCGCAATCAGATTATAGACATACAGTTGGTGCAGGTAACAATGACTCATTTGATGCTGTGCTAACTTACTTGTGAGTTTTCTCACCACAGATGCTCGGAAAGTTGATCATGATTCACAACATTTAGGAAATGTAAAAATAAATACCGTAATACCAAAATGATTTCTTCTGTTAAAAAAAAAGGGTATTGCTACAACATTGTTGTGATTATTAGTCAACGAATAATTTGTAAGCTTTACTTACTTTTTTGGATTCATCAATAAATTCGTAAATATGGAAATATTTACCGATTTATTACGTAATTAGGAAATCCTTGGATGCCCTCGGGGCACCATCCCTTTAACAGGGGAACAATGAATCCACACCTCTATCAATCTTGTCTAAACTTTCCATGAAATCTTTAACGAGCTGCAGTTATTTTTATATCAACACAAACAAACTCACTTGAGACAAATGCTTAATTGGCAATAACATTTATTAACTAATATACCCACTTCAGCTTCTCCCAAAGTGTTTAGCCAATCAACATCAACCAACTTATTTTATCAAACGAATAACGAGTGATTAACAATGAGATGAAAATGTGAAATGACAATCTGAGGTGATGTAACTCAAGATGGAGGTAGTTTTGAAACAAATGGGCCATTCCCATCTGTACCGGGTCGGCCCGGGCCGGGTAGCCCCAGTCAGCCCCATCCTGGCCCGGTTGATTCCACACATCCTTGTCTTAAGCCCATGTGGGCTGATTCTACCCACCAATCAGAGGCTTGCTCTAATGGAAGGTGTGAATTTGCTGTCAGCAGTGGGTGTGTTGGCCCTGGTCGGCCTGAAGCAGACCCCCTCGAGAAGAGGGCTGAGAATGAGCCTTGGTTGGCCCGGAAAAATACAAGGCCACCCAGATATGTAAACAACCTACGCTACCCGGCCCGGGCCGACCCGGTACAGATGGGAATGGCCCAAAAATGGCTGGTCACTTTGTCTGAGGGAGCGAGGACCCGACCGTATATGTGGGATGTGTGTGTCCTCCCAAACACTGAAAACCAGAATATGTGTGTGTGTCTGTGTCTTGTCCCCCCAAACACGGAAAACCAGAATATGTGTGTGTGTGTGTGTGTGTGTGTGTGTGTGTGTGTGTGTGTGTGTGTGTGTGTGTGTGTGTGTGTGTGTGTGCGTGTGCGTGTGCGTGTGCTCGTTGTGCGTGTGCGTGTGTGCGTGGGCAACTTTCACTTTAAACTTCCAAAGCACGTTCAATCACAGTAAAACTTAACCGGAACACTTCAAATCACAAAGCACAAAAGAAGGATAACAGATCAAAGGTAAAATTGAATATCTAACGATATGTTTATGCTGTGGCCACAGCTCAAAACAACTTAGATATTACAATGAAAGAAAAGATCTTACTTCAAGATGGTCTGGATGGCGTATTTGGTATGGAAGAGAAACCGTATTTACTTTGAAGCAATTGCGCGGTTTGATCGCTTGTTTGGAATATTAAGAGTAACGGGAGGAAAAGGAGATAGAGGAGGAAAAGGGGAAAAAAAACTTCTCTGAGCGAACCAAGGCGTCCTTCGTCGTTCGCGCTGAGCAGATCTGATGGTTTTCCGCTGCTTTTCAGCGGCTCTCCTCCGCACGCTGTCCGGTGCGGTAGCAAACGAGTGCCTCTTCACGCCAGTTGAACTGGAACAAAAGACGAGTAAAGTTTCGTTCTGCCTGGCTTTTCATAGCTTTCCAGTGGGCGGACCATGGGTCCGGGGTTCGACGTTGCTTTGGAGACGTCATCACGTTGCTTCCGGGCAGAGAATCATGGGAAATGGAGTCTGCTGGCGCTGGAATTTATTATCTGCTTTTTCAGAGCACAGATGACACTTTTGGAGACAATTTTGGAGAAATTGCCGCATAGTAATTTTCTCATGAGGGCAGACCCTCAACAACATCGAACCCTGCGCAAATAATTTCATTAACCTTTTTGACACCTTCTTATGAAGCTGTGTATGTTCCTTCTAAGGAATCTTTGCGTTAAATTGACCTGCTGGAATGTTTGTTTGTCTGTTTTCCTATTTCCACGAAGAGCAACAAGGTTGGAGGAAGCAACCACATGGAGAAGGAGGGTCTAAGAAGAAGCTTGGAACTCCTAGAGGGCAGTGGTGTGAAAGTGGAAAGTATAATAACGGAGCGCCGTCCTCAGGTGCAGAAGTTCTTGAGTGAGCGCGAGATGAAGCACTATTACGATGTACGGCAAATGGCTAAAGGTGGAGCAGTATTTTATACGAGTAAACCATCTGGTTAACTAAGGATGTGCTAATGGACAATAACTCCTGTTGTTAATGTCTAATAAATTCACTAGGTTTGTCCAAAAAGCTACACCGAATTGGCAAAGACAGCGACTGTGGGCAAGTAAAAAAGTGGCATAAAAGCATCATCAACCACCTCTACTGGTGCGCTGTTGGTTGTGCGTCTGGGGCTGAGAAGGTTTCGAGGTGGAAGTCCATCTTGAATCATATACAAGACATACACATTCACTCAGATCCAGCTTTTCCAAAGTGCTTGCATCGGACGAGGGTGTCGAAGGACCCCAACAAGTGGTTTAAACCAGGTTAGTATTTAAACAACACAATGTAACTCCCAAGTAGGGATGGGTACCGAATTCGGTACTTTTTAAGGTACCGACCGAATTCCACAGTACCGACCGAGCACCGATTCACTTCATTTGAAACGGTGCCTCGTTTCGGTACCCGTCCTTCACAACGAGAACTTGCCTAGACACCTGCGCATGCGCAAGAGGGTGAGATGAAACCAGCGACAACGATTTAAGTGAGACATCCTCATCTTAATCTGCTCCGGTAGGTAAATAAAATGTTTAAGATAACGTTAGCTTGATTTGTTAGCTTCCGTTTCACTAATGGTGCGTTCGCTTTCTCCTCGGAACTGCAAAATTCCGACTAGAAGAACACGAACGCGCTCTAAAGTTTGGCTTCACTTTACTAAATGCGACGGGTGATTGGGTGAAGACGAAACCAGTGAAAAAGATGTAAGTGTGAGGCATCATCGTTTTAATCTGCTCCAGCAGTTAAATAAACTGTTTAAGATAACGTTAGCTTGATATGTTAGCTTCCTATGCCACCGTTATCAGCTAATGGTGCGTTCGCTTTTTCCTGGGAAATTCTAACTTCCCAGTAGGAAAAATCTAATGAAAAAAGACGGCAAAAGGAATGAAGATACACAGTAAATTTAGTTCACAGTAAAGATGTTTGCTTCAGTTTAATTATCAGCTTATAAAACTACAAGGACGATGTTAAAATACAAACAGTTGAATGTTATTTATTGTGATATATATCAAATATGGTTATATATTGAGAAAAATATATATTTAATTATAAAAGAGAATTAAAAATATTAAACACTCAAAAGTATCGAAAATTGGTACCGTTAAGTACCGGTATCGATTCGTAGGTACCGGGAATTAGTACCGGATCGATTCAAATGTCAAAGGTACCCATCCCTACTCCCAAGTCAATCACACTTCTGTGAAATCAAACTGGCCTCTTAGGAAGCAACACTGATTGACAATCAGTTTCACCTGCTGTTGTGAAAATGGGATAGACAACAGGTGGGAATTATAGGCAATTAGCCAGACATCCCCATTAAAGGAGTAGTTCTGCAGGTGGTGACCACAGACCACTTCTCAGTTTCGATGCTTTCTGGTTGATGTTTTGGTCACTTTTAAATTCTGGTGGTGCTCTCTCTAGTGGTGGCATGAGACGCAGGCTACAACCCACACAAGTGGCTCGGTTAATGCAGCTCATCCAGGATGGCACAGCCATGCGAGCTGTGGCAGGAATGTTTGCTCTATCTGTCAGCGTAGTATCCAGAGCATGGAGGTGTTACCAAGGGGACAGGCCAGTACATCAGGAGACGTGGATGAGGCTGTAGGAGGGCAACAACCAAGCAGCAGGTCCACTACCTCTGCCTTTGTGCAAGGAGGAACAGGAGGAGCACTGCAAAATGACCTCAGGCGGGCCACAAATGTGCATGTGTCTGCCCAAACAGTCTGAAACTCCATGAGGGTGGTATGAGGAGTCGACATCCACAGGTGTGGGGTGTGCTTGCAGCCCAACACCGTGCAGGACATCTAGCATTTGCCAGACAACACCAAGACTGGCAAATTTGCCACTGGCGCCCTGTGCTCTTCACAGATGAAAGCAGGTTCACATTGAGCACATGTGACAGACGTGACAGAATCTGGAGACGCCGTGGAGAACGTTCTTCTGTCTGCAACATCCTCCAGCATGACTGGTTTGACAGTGGGTCAGTAATGGTGTGCACTGGCATTTATTGGAGGTCTTCACAGCCCTCCATGTGCTTGCCAGATGGATGCTGTTTTTCTCTGTCTCTCTCAGCTGAGAGGAACACACACACACACACATACACACACACACACACGTCTAGGGAGGTCATATAGGGACGTGGAGGCCACACACTACTGAGCCACGTTTTGACCTGTTTTAAGGACATTACATCAAAGTTGGTTCAGCTCGCATGGCTGTGACATCCTGGTTTTCCACATTAACTTTGAGTGTGACTCCAAATCCAGACCTCCATGGATTGATAAATTTGATTTCTATTGACAATTTTTGTCATTTTGCTGTCAGCTCAATAAATGTAAAGAATAAAGTATAAAATAAGAATATTTCATTCATTCAGATCTAGGATTGTTTTATTTGTGTTCTCTTTATTTTTTTAAGCAGTGTAAATGGAAAATCACTGCTATGACTACTCTTCAACATATGTATTGATATGAAAATAAACAACAAAATGTGTTTCTCTTAGGTACTGCTGCACTCAAACGATTAGAAAGGGTGTTGACAACCAAGCGGTTCCTTAGAGATGTGGAAAATCTAAGCCCCCACTACCAGACCTCTTCCTTGGAGTCCTTCCACAATGAACTTCTGCATTCTGCTCCAAAAGACGCTGTTCTCCCCTTCACTGGAAGGCTATGCAGGTATGTGTACTCCCTCACATTGGGCCTCCTCTGAGGTAAGTATCTAAGCTTTATAGGCTGCACCAATCAAAATAGCCTGCAGATACGCTGCTTGGCCCCAAAAAAAAGTTGCCACCTGGGTCTAACTAAACAAATAGGTAGAAGCCTCATATTGGATCATTACTGCACTTCCATTAATGGAATAACCTGGTCATTCAGTATATTCAGGTATTCAGCTGACCTCATTCTTGGAGCACATCCTGTTGCTGAACCTAGACCTGACCAACTGCAGCAACCCCAGATCATAACACTGCCCCCACAGGCTTGTAGAGTAGTCACTAGGCATGAGTGCATCTGTCTCTCTTCTTACCCTGATGCACCCACCACTCTGGAGCAGGGTCCATCTGGACTCATCAGACCAGTTTTTAATAATGCATTGGACAGTTCTGCTAAAGATGTTTCCTCTGCTTGATGCATGCCATGGATGTGACCCTTCTCAGACTAACATCTGTTCCACGACCACCAGATGTGTGTTTTCACATAGTTGTTTAAGAAATGAGAAACAACTCACTGCACCTGTTGGGGTTAAATAACTTGTTACCAGCTGAAAGATAATCGCCCACGCAGTAATTATCCAATAGGAGGCTCCTACCTATTTGTGTAGTTAAATCCAGGTAGCAACTCTTTTTTAAAAAAGTTTCACCTGATCTAAATCTCCAGAGCACATCTTTGTATAACCTGTCTATGATCTTCATCGTCTACAAGTGAGGACAAGGCAGGCACATGCCTTTACTTCGAGAGGAGAGCGAGTGACTATTTCTGATAATATGTGACTTCACAAAATAACTTAGTTACATGCATAAAGTCAAACTAAAAAGGTGCATAATGTGTTAAGTTCTTCAAACTTTTAAAAGTATTTTCTTTCCAACCCGCACTTCCCCCTTTTCATGGACACAGGTTGTACCTTGCTGCAATGCACTACAACGAGAATGCAGATCGCCCACGAAAGAGGCCCTCAAACAGGTATCCCCTCTTGTTCCCTGAGGCCAAGAATGGAGGGCACCCAGGAAAACAAGTGAAGAAGGAGCAAACCAACTGTAAGTTTAAATATTTAGGTATATTGAAGTATTACAGAAAGATTCTAAATTTGCTGATTGATTGCTAGTAGGTAATTAATTTTATTTCTCCTAACAGTCTACGTCTTCAACTTGATCCATTTGGTCTTCACTGAGGTTGTCCATGACCCACAGCCTTTCGTGTGTGCAGTGACGCTGATTGATGTACCTCAGGACAATCCTGCCTTGGATGATGCTGTAGCTGCATGTGCCACACTTCAGTGAAGGGGAGGTCTGAAGTTGGTGCAGTGCTCTGTGGCATCAGGAAAATCCCTCTCTATTCCAAGCACCTCACAGGAGGGAATCACTATAAGGACACTTCTGCCAAGGAAACCCCAGCTATCCCCAAACTATCTGTATCTGCTTTGCTTCAGAAATAGTCAGGAGGAAAATTGTTCTTTTTGGTTTTTTTTGTATCTGAATCGATTTGTTTTGAAGTACAAGAGTGGAATATGCTTCAGTAAAGTTCCTCTTGATTGTGTGATGTGTACAAAATAAAAACTTTAATTTGTTATTGTTGCTTGGTCGACCAGTCCTTGGAATCCTGCCATCAATGCAATCACAGCTTTAGTGTTTAAAAACATATGTTTTTGTATTTCAGTGACTTTTTAAGAGATACTTAGCAACTCGTGCATATTTTTAAATCATTTTCTTGAACCAATATGTGCTAATAATAACATTTACAGGGTTAATGAAAGGCCAACTAGCCCCTGTTGCCAATGGCTGCCTCCTGTGGCCAGAATATTCCACTTGTAACTTCAGATTAGCGGCCACTCTTGAGTTGACATACCTGGAGCTGCAGTCTGCTTCCAGCACGTTTCCTGCATATTTTAGATAATGAACTCTGCTGATTTGTTTAATTGAGAGATGAATCACTCCTGTAGACACTAAGGAAGGCTGGGGAGACATTTAAACTGTTGGATTAAGGCAGGGTTTTCCAAATTCTGGTCCTGGAGGGCCAGTATCCAGCAGGTTTTGTGGTTTTTCTGCTCCAACAGACGATTCAGTGGTTGAAACACCTGTGCAGCAGCTCACCAGGCTCTGCAGAAGCTTGTTAATTAGCTGCTGATTGAAATCAGGTGTGTTGAAACAGTTCAAACTAAAACATGCAGGACACCGGCCCTCCAGGACCAGGATTGGGGACCCCTGGATTAAGGTGTTAAAATGATGAACGCACAGCGAGGAGATAGGTTTTGCTTTTGGTTCTACAAATGAACACTAGGGGGTGCTAAAAGCAAGCCAAAACTGCTTTGTTCTCCTTCAAACAGGCAAATTTGTCCTCTACTTCATCCAGTCACCACCTCTAACTCCCATTACTTATAATTTCCTGACAAGATTAAAAAGTTTGCTGTGCATCTTTAAACTCATTCAGTCACTGTTGTATAAATAATTTATATCGTCTGACTTTTTCTGCGAGACATTACATCTGCTCTGTGTCTGTCAATAGAAGTGGTTCTCGTTTTAATTTTTTGGCAGTGCTGTTGAGGAAGTTAAAAGAAGCAGCTTCCTGGCCAGTCACAGGGTTGCGGTCTCTGTTGCTTTCCAAGGATATATAGAAAAATGAGCTCTACTTTATCAGTCCCTGCAAGTCTGTTGGAGAAACCTTGATATGATTGACAATGGTGTTGCGTGTCTCCATACCGACACAGATGGATAAGCATAAACTAGCCTTCAGGCAGCATCATAGATATGTGGGGGTTAATCAGCCAATTATGGGGAGAAATAAGTCTCAAAAGGTCTGTGTGTGTGTGTGTGTATCTAAATTTGTGCGTGTGTATCTAGATTTGTGTGTGTGCAACTTGATTTGTAACTTTTGTTTACATTTTCGTGTGTAACTTCAGCTCCTACACATACAAATTATTGAGTTCGCACACACAAATCACCTGGTAAACACAGACAAAACTAATTACACCAGATCAGTTTACAAGTACAAAAATCCTTTTGAGACTATTTTCTGTGCGTACATGGTACATTTGAATGCTGGGTGGAAGCTGGGAAATTTGATTTTCCTTTGGAATTAGTCTAAATTTGTGTAAACCAGACAAGTACCGTAAATCCTCTAATATTAGCCTGTATTTAATTAACTGCTGGGTATCATATTTTGGCCGGTGTCGGAGTCGGCGGAGGTGAATAATGGCCGTTTTTTTATTGTGGCCGGGTGGAATGTGGTAACAAGCAAGTACGGGGGACGGTTGTGTCATCCGTCTCACTTTTGATTTGCCAGTGATAGACCGCGAGGGTAACTTTAACCGTGCGGAGACGAAGAGGAGGTGAAAATTTGATATCAAGTTAAAAAAAAACGTGCTGATTATGCTGCAGAACACTCTGGGGAGCAGTAGCAGGGGTTGTATGAACTAGTCACTAGTCGACTTCACCGCTCTATAGTGACTTTTTATGCCTGTCATCGACTAGTCGCTGTCACTTGATAATGACCGGGAAGATGCAGCCCTCGGAAAAGACAGCAGCCTGCTGTCAGCAGGTGACAGGTGATGCACGTCTGGAGGCAACGCGCTGTGCCAGAGCGTCAGTACTGACACCCGCCGTAAAACAGATATTTAAACAAATTGTGACGTTTACCCTCTTGCAATTTAACCTTCCCCTCACCCCCATCCTAACCTTAACCAGCTTGCGCATGCAAAGCTCTGACTGTTGATGCGCTCCAGACATCTGCGTCCTGAGCACGGCCACAGTAACATTATCAAATCAGGTGTCACCACCTCAAAAACTTATTTAACACGCGATCATGTTCATGTCAGCTCATTTCCTTTTATGTTTTCTGTCTTTTATTCTTTTATTTGTGCCTGATGCTTTTCGCTGCTGTGGATCGGGGCGCATCACCTGTTTAGTCCTCGGTGACTCACCTAACTGATGTGGCCGGCAAGCACTCCTCTGTTTTTGCGGTCGGTAGATCTTTTAGAACTGCAGTTCAAAGGTAACTCATAAGGTGAATATATATGATCCTGGGTAGCAGTTTTTCTTTAGGATTGAGAGGAGATGCAGGAAGATAATAAACAGACAGGACAGAAAAATAGTCAAATAAAAACAAGTTAGTTTTTGTACCTGGTGGTTGCAACAAACAGACACCATTGAAGGTAATCAGAAGTGAAGAACAGAAAATGAAATAATTATTTTAATGTTTAGAGCAGCAGGAACTCCAAGAGGCTGCAGGCGCATCAGTGAGTTTGCGGCCGCTGCGCAGGGGGAGGGGGGAGAGGGCTGAAGCAGAAACTACCGTTGTTAAAAGAAATGTGTTTAATTTTGAAAATGTGGGCGCAATTTTAATTGTCAAAAACTCCAGCGAACCATTAGTTCATTTTGCTCTAATAGAAATTGAGGCCTGCCTCTAATTCTGGTCCTCCTTCCAATAAAGGCCTGGAGCTTGACGAGCTTGAGTCAAATACAGGCCCAGGCCTGTATTAGAGGATTTACGGTATGTTTTTCAGTGGAAAAATATAGTATCTCAGGATCCTGTAGTTATTAAAGATAGACCCACATTTAATTTTTAATCATCTAAATTGTTTATTTAGACATATGTGTTTATGAGCCATGAAAGCATAGTCAACGGTTTAAAAGAAATGACTAATAAATGGCAGAGTGGTTCTCTGACTGGAAAAAGCAGGCTTCAAACTGGGAGAAGGCACAAGAAGATGGTGCAGTGTCCTGGTGATCTTTCCTCTGAAGTAAGTAAAAGTAAATCCAGCGTGCTTTGCAGTGAGGTTATAATGAGACGGCTCATATTTTAGACCATTTCATGCTCTAAAATAAAAGACCATTTTCAGTGATCGCGTATTATTGTTAATTATTTTTTTGTGGATAATAGTTACTTTCAACCAGTCGATTTTGGTCCTTTAAAAGTTCCGCCTTTGTGCTCTGGGTGGCGCTACAACTTAGCACACTCAATTGCAAGAAGAACTTCCGGAGGTCATAGGTAAACGGCTGTTTCAAAACATGGATGCTAAAAAAGTGGATGAAGGTGTGAATTTATTTCTGTTTCCTCGTATGTTAACGTTGTATTAATTTTAGACCATTAAACTTTAAGCGCATAAGTTCTGTAACTATTCACAGTTATCAGCTAAATTTATTGTAATTGCTGCGTTAACTAGCTTTCGGTGTTAGCTTTATTTATTTTTCTTTAAACTTTATTTTCTTCTTCAGGTGCTCAGTCTTCACCACAGACGTTTATTTCACCGTTTAATATATTTTATTACAACTTAAGTCGCTCACAAAATATGAAGTTACGGTTAACACAACAACAAAAATATGCTAAAACAAATTACGTGTTATCTAAGGAAATTATGTTTTTATTATTGTGGGGAAATATACAGTTTGTAATCCCAGATAGCTCATTATATTGTTACATGTGTCATCCTTATAGCGATGTTTATATTTAAGTAAAATGAAGCCAGATACTGTAGCATGTCTAGTTATTTGCAGTTGTCTTTAAGTAAATAGACATGTCGTGATGAATGAAAAACTAAGCATGTCTCTTAGATGCGATGGCGGATGTAGAAGACATTGGATCTGTCATGGGATTCTCTGGATTTGGTAAGGTTCATTTTATTTTATTGCATTTACAGAAAAGTTATCAAACCTAGCAGTCCATCATATGGGTCTTTGTTTCCTGTGATAGTCTGGCATCCTGTCCAGGTTGTACCCCACTAGGGATAGACCGATAAATCTGTCAGCTGATACATCGGGCCAATATTTACTTTTTTATTGTTGTCAATATCCCTCTTTAGTTAAGCTGATTTAAAATCAGGCTCATCTGCGGATACCCAGTCTCAGAAATAAGGGTTGTTGCTAGGATACTGCTGCTTTGTCGAGATTACTGATGTTTTTAAGTTTACATTAAAATGTTGTTAGACTTTGCTGGTGTGTTTTAGCAGGTCGTTACTGTGTTTTCAGTACTAATTTATTTAAATGTTTAAATATTTTGTTTTTGATGCTTTATTATTTTGAAATATGATTAAGCGCTCTGAGTTTTAACATGCAGGCTAAATGTGAAAATAGTCTCCTACACCCATTTCCTGCATTAGCTGCCGATGGGCAATAGACGGGAAATGCACGGATTAGAAAAGCCACACAGATCTACGTTGTACTGAAAATTTGTCTTCATGGACTTACCCATCTTGACATTGATTTAGTGTCCAGGAGAGAACAGAGCACATGTTGGCTAGTAGAAGCTAGCTGTTGGCATTAGCAACTCCATAACAAGACAGAAGTCCTTCAGGACTGTGTTATTTCTCGTCTCTCGTCTTCCTCCGCTTATCCGGGTCCGGGTCGCGGGGGCAGCATCCCAACTAGGGAGCTCCAGGCCGTCCTCTCCCCGGCCTTGTCCACCAGCTCCTCCGGCAGGACCCCAAGGCGTTCCCGGACCAGATTGGAGATGTAACCTCTCCAACGTGTCCTGGGTCGACCCGGGGGCCTTCTGCCGGCAGGACATGCCCGAAACACCTCCCCGGGGAGGCGTCCAGGAGGCATCCTGACCAGATGCCCAAACCACCTCAACTGGCTCCTTTCGATCCGGAGGAGCAGCGGTTCTACTCCGAGTCCCTCCCGAATGTCCGAGCTCCTCACCCTATCTCTAAGGCTGAGCCCGGCCACCCTACGGAGGAAACTCATTTCGGCCGCTTGTATCCGTGATCTCGTTCTTTCGGTCATTACCCAAAGCTCATGACCATAGGTGAGGATTGGGACGTAGATCGACCGGTAAATCGAGAGCCTGGCTTTCTGGCTCAGCTCCCTCTTCCCCACGACAGATCGGCTCAGCGTCCGCATCACTGCAGACGCCGAACCAATCCGCCTGTCGATCTCCCGATCCCTCCTACCCTCACTCGTGAACAAGACCCCGAGATACTTAAACTCCTCCACTTGAGGTAGGACCTCTCCCCCGACCCGGAGGTGGCAAGCCACCCTTTTCCGGTCGAGAACCATGGTCTCAGATTTGGAGGTGCTGATCCTCATCCTAGCCGCTTCACATTCGGCCGCGAACCTACCCAGCAAGAGCTGAAGGTCAGAGCTGGATGAAGCTAGGAGGACCACATCATCCGCAATAAGCAGAGACGAGATTCTCCTGCCACCAAACTCGACACACTCCACACCACGGCTGCGTCTAGAAATTCTGTCCATAAAAGTGATGAACAGAACCGGTGACAAAGGGCAGCCCTGGCGGAGTCCAACCCTCACTGGGAACAGGTCCGACTTACTACCGGCTATGCGGACCAAACTCACGCTCCTCTGGTAAAGGGACTGAATGGCCCTTAACAGAAAGCCACCCACCCCATACTCCTGGAGCGTCCCCCACAGGGTGCCCCTGGGGACACGGTCATAAGCCTTCTCCAAATCCACAAAGCACATGTGGATTGGTTGGGCAAACTCCCATGCCCCCTCCATCACCCTTGCAAGGGTATAGAGCTGGTCCACAGTTCCACGGCCAGGACGAAAACCACATTGCTCCTCCTCTATCTGAGATTCAACTATCGATCGGACCCTCCTCTCCAGTACCTTGGAGTAGACCTTTCCAGGGAGGCTGAGGAGTGTGATCCCCCTATAGTTGGAACACACCCTCAGGTCACCCTTCTTAAAGATGGGGACCACCACCCCGGTCTGCCACTCCCTAGGAACTGCCCCCGATGACCACGCAATGTTGTAGAGACGTGTCAACCATGACAGCCCTACAACATCCATAGCCTTGAGATACCCAGGACGAACCTCATCCGCCCCCGGGGCTCCGCCGCTGTGTAGTTGTTTGACTACCTCAGCAACTTCTGCCCCCGAGATCGGACAGTCCATCCCCAGGCCTCCCAGCTCTGGTTCCTCCTCGGAATGCGCATTGGTGGGATTGAGGAGCTCCTGAAAGTATTCCTTCCACCGTCCGACTATAGCCTCAGTTGACGTCAGCAGCTCCCCATCCCCACTGTAAACAGTGTGAGCGAGTTGCTGCCTTCCTCTCCTGAGGCGCCGGACAGTTTTCCAGAACCTCTTTGGAGCCGATCGATAGTCTTTCTCCATGGCCTCACCAAACTCCTCCCACGCCCGAGATTTTGCCTCGGCAACTGCCACTGCTGCACCCCGCTTGGCTATCCGGTACCTGTCTGCTGCCTCCGGAGACCCACAGACCAGCCACGCCCTGTAGGCCTCCTTCTTCAGCCTGACGGCTCCCCGAACCTCTGGTGTCCACCAGCGGGTACGGGGGTTGCCACCACGACTGGCACCGGCCACCTTACGACCACAGCTAGCAACAGCCGCCTCGACAATCGCAGAGTGGAACAAGGCCCACTCGGACTCAATGTCCCCCACTGCTCTCGGGACGTGGTCAAAGCTCTGCCGGAGGTGGGAGTTGAAGACCGTCTTGACAGGTTCTTCTGCCAGGCGTTCCCAGCAGACCCTCACTATGCGTTTGGGTCTGCCAGGTCTACGCGGCATGTTCCCTTGCCATCTGATCCAACTCACCACCAGGTGGTGATCAGTTGACAGCTCCGCCCCTCTCTTCACTCGGGTGTCCAAAACATACGGCCGCAGGTCAGATGATACGACTACAAAATCTATCATCGACCTGTGACCTAGGCTGCCCTGGTACCAAGTGTACCGGTGGGCATCCTTATGTTCGAACATGGTGTTCGTTATGGCCAAACTGCGGCTTGCACAGAAGTCCAATAACAAAACACCGCTCGAGTTCTGATCAGGTGGGCCGTTCCTCCCAATCACACCCCTCCAGGTCAAGCTGTCATTGCCCACGTGAGCATTGAAGTCCCCTAGCAGGACAATGGAGTCCCCTGATGGAGCACTATCTAGCACTCGTCCCAGGGACTCCAAAAAGGGTGGGTACTCTGAACTGATATTTGGCCCATAAGCACAAACAACAGTCAGGACCCGTTCCCCGACCCGAAGGCGCAAGGAAGCTACCCTCTTGTCCCCCGGGGTAAACCCCAACACACAGGCAGAGAGTCTCGGGGCTAACAAAAAGCCAACCCCAGCCCTCCGCCTCTCACCCGGAGCAACTCCAGCAAAGTAGAGTGTCCAACCCCTCTCCAGGTCTCGGGTTCCAGAGCCAATGCAATATGTCGAGGTGAGTCCGACTATATCTAGCCGGTACCGCTCAACCTCTGCCACAAGCTCCGGCTCCTTCCCCCCCAGCGAGGTGACGTTCCATGTCCCAAAAACTAGTTTTCTTGTCCGGGGATTGGACCGCCAAGGCTCCCGCCTTGGTCTGCCACCCGATTCACATTGCACCGGACCCTTCATGTTCCTCCTGCGGGTGGTGGGTCCACAGTTGGACGAGCCCATGTATCCGGTTCGGGCTGGGCCCGGCCGGGCCCCATGGGCGAAAGCCCGGCCACCAGGCGCTCGCTCACGGGCCTCAACCCCAGGCCTGGCTCCAGGGTGGGACCCCGGTAACCCTCCGGGCCGGGTACTCCGACTCTTCGTTTTAACCGCCATGAAAGATCCTTCGAACCGTTCTTTGTCTCACCCTTCACCTAAGACCAATTTGTCATGGGAGACCCTACCAGGGGCACTAAGTGCCCCAGACAACATAGCTCCTAGGAACATTAGGGCACTCAAACTCCTCCACCACGATAAGGTGACGGTTCAAGGAGGAGACTGTGTTATTTATGAAGATAAAACATCAATGTTGCAAAGAAAACATAGTCAGTGGCAGAGTTGCATTGCTGTTAGCCAATCAGAGGCGAGATGTCCAAATATCAATAAATAATAATAATAATAATACATTGAACTTATGTAGCGGTTTTCAAGACACCCAAAGACTCTTTCACATACTCTCACATTCACACACTGCTAGTGATGGTAAGCTACTTGTAGCCACAGCCGCCCTGGGGAGGTCTGACAGAGGCGAGGCTGCCATTTGGCGCCGTCAGCCCCTCTGACCCACCACTACACACAGGCAAGATGGGTGAAGTGTCTTGCCCAAGGACACAACAGCAGGATACCCCTGGAAGGAGCTGGAATCGAACCCATGACCCTCCGATCATGAGGCAACCCGCTCTACCACCTGAGCTACTGCTGCCCCTGAAATAAAGATGCTTTCACATCTGGGCCAGCACAGACTGCAATGGGCAGCTTCTAAAGTGTTAACATCTAGGTAGCCTTGCATTTTTCTGTGCTCGACTGGCTGGTTTTTCGGCCCAAGGCGGTCTGCTTTGAGCTGAACAGGTCCAACACACCCACTGCCAACTGGTTGGCTGATACAAATATACGCCTACTGTCAGGGAGAGCTTCCGATTGTCCAAGGCATTCATTCATACTAGATCACTGTAGATTTGTGGAAAACAACTAGTGAACTTTGTTTTTAAAGGTCTGATTTTACTTCTGTGCAAAATCAGGATGTTGGTTAAATTCAGTGTTCAGAAATACCGTGCATCCACTGTTGTTATTAGTGTCATTTAGCATGAAAATAAGGCAGAAAACTTCCTGATATCAGCCAAAGAGTACTAATTAAAATCTCTATACCCCACTGGCTGGAGATTTGCACCAGCTGCCCAACACCACACACAAGAAGCAGTTACAGAAGATGAATGATTAAGTTTTAGTTTTCACAGATTCAGTTTGACTCATTTGTACTTTTCAGGGAAAAAAGCACGCACGTTTGACTTAGATGCCATTTTTGAGCAGACCCGGCGCACAGCGATTGAGAGAAGCCAGCGTGTTTTGGGTAAGATTGAGCACGACTAATGAACATGTAACAACATGAGCGTACAAAGAGAAATAGTCCAATGATAAGTGTCTTTGTGTAGGTACAAGTGGTCATCTGGTTATTGGCTTGGTATGCTGAGTTAATGTGCAAAAGTGGTTGTGTTGTAACAATTTCCTCCTCAGAGGAGCGACAGAAGGATACTCAGATGGAGGAGGACAGCGAGAGCTCCTCGTCAGTCAAGCCATCAGGTCACAAACAAAAAAAGAAAGCAGCAGCTTCCTCTAGGTAAGCTAAGATTTTTATATTTGAGTCACTAACTCTCACTAATAGTGCTAAGTTGATCATTTCTTTTCTATTTTTTTCTTCATTAAGCAAAGAGAAAAATGAGAGCAGCAGTGATCATAGCGACTCTGACTCAGAGCTCATCAGACCACCCAAGGAGGAGGAGGAGGATGATGCTGTGGGACCTCCCCTTCCTCCAGGTTACAGGGGCAGCACAGCAGAGAGTGAAGATGAGGATGATGAAGATGAAGAGGAGACACAGGATGATGATGATGTAAGTCTGAAATGGTAACAGTTGACATCATTTGTGGATTACAACACGTTTTCCATTCTTACAATACTTTTTACATTACGAACAAAAAAATCAAGTCACTAATAATTTTAAATATGACTCGGATCTGGTTTGTTATTATTAACTGCTGTCATTTTCCGGCTTTAACGTTTTATTGTTGACATGGAAAAGTATAGAAAGTAACCAGTGACTTCTGTGGGTATTTTAAAAGACCACCACAAGGTGGCAGCACCATTACTTGTTGAGTGGAGCAGGATTTTTGTGTTTTTCTTAGCAAAGTTCCAGTGACACCTGCAACACATCAGCATCTGTTAGGTCTGTATTTACCAAGTGTCTTGGTAAATAACTCAGCATTTGAAGTGGATGCTTTCCATTTTCAGAAATCCACTGCATGAAGATTTTTACTCACAAAGGTTAATTAACTGAAAGCATGGATTAGAAAAAGAAATGTTCTAAAACAAAACAAATAATCACCTCTTTTCTTTTCTTTACTTTTCTTTTCTTTTCTTTTCTTTTCTTTTCTGGACTTACCTCTGCTCACCCCAGAATCCAGTGAAAAAGATCCCAGCCACTCATGAGATTACTCTGGAGCACGGCACCAAAACAGTAAGGCTTTTAGTCAGCGGCGCTCAGCGTTTCTGTTTGTTCTCAACTATAAACGATTCACAGATTTCTCTTTTTGGCTAAAAAAGTGTCTACAAACATCTTGTAATTTAAAATAGAAACATCTAACATGTAGGTTCACAATGATGTGTATCTGTTTATCCATCTCAGTGTTGAGTTTTAGGGGCGAGGTTCACTGAGAAACGTGTTATACTTGTTATTTTTGAAATGCCATCGGTTACTTTGAGTTTCACTCTCTTCACTAGAGACCACTGCAAATGTATTGAAACAATGACTGAATGCCTTCTTTTATAACTGAAGCCGTCTACATAACTGATTTAAATGCTACAAACCTTTAGCTCTAAATAACTGGGTCAGGATACTCTTCAAATCTGTGACTTTTGTTTTATTCTTCTTTAGTGGAAACTGTATCAGAAGCAACCATCTACAGTCAGTTCAAAGCTGACTTGTAGTCATTTGGAAGTTGTCATTTAAAGAAAGCAAATTGTCTCATCAGGTATCGGCTCTGGCTCTGGACCCTTCTGGAGCCCGTCTGGTGACGGGTGGATATGATTATGATGTCCGTTTCTGGGACTTTGCTGGAATGGATCAGTCTCTGCAGGCCTTCAGAACCCTGCAGCCGTGTGAGTGGTATGTATAACGTCAGCACAGTTGCTTACCACGTGCTTAATTGGATTCATGCAGACAAAACACCGACTTCAGTTAGGTGCACTAAAGTGGGACACCCGCACACAAACACACGTTTGATGAGCTGCATCGATTCTCATGCTTACTCTGTGACATCCTCTCGTTTCGTGCAAAATGAAGCTTTCAGGAGCAGATGAAGTTTTGTGTGTGTTTGTGTGTGTGTGTGTGTGTGTGTGTGTGTTTACTCTGAATCTGTCGTTAAAGATCACATTCTTCTTTCGGTTTTGGGAACCGGTGCGCTGAGCTGGATCAGGCTTCCCCCTATTAAGGAAAGCTCACGCTACATTTAATATGATTGCACTGTGATCTGGTAGCCTGTTTGGTTTATTAACAAGCTGGGCCTCATTCAGGATTCTGGGCCGGCGAGGTCCACCCCTCATCTGGCACGACCCAAAAGGGCGACATGTAAATAATTTTAAGCAGAACGATGATCAGATTTGGTGACTGTACTCTGAATTTGTTTCTGTTTCTGGAGCTTTTGGCCTCGTCTGTGACTTTCTGTGTAGATTTAGTTTATTATTGACTTCAGATTTAGAAGTTTAGTTAAACAGTAATAATATCAGAGAAGTAAAACTAGATTAATAGATCATTTTTTTCCATTTCCGTCAGATTTATTTTAGTCTCTGCAAATCTGCTTTGTGATCGTTTGTTGTGTTTGAGGGATTTTCTTTATAAAATATTATTACAGTTAAAAATGTTATATTTTTTAACTATTTCTGCTTTTTGCTTAATAAATATTCAAGCAAGTCACTTAATTTTTTAGTAAAGAAACCTGTATCATGCTACTTTTGCATTTATATCGGAGTCATTTTAAAGGCTTAAAGCTGATTTTAAAGCAACACTTTGGGATACATGCTGAACACCTGATGAAGCAATGTGGCACCACCAGAGAAATGTCTCCTTTGTGTTGTCTGTGTCTTTGTCAGCCATCAGATCAAGTCCCTAAAGTATAGCATCACTGGTGATGTCATCCTGGTGGTTTCTGGGAACGCTCAGGCCAAAGTGTTGGACCGAGATGGCTTCAACATCATGGAGTGTATAAAAGGAGACCAGTACATTGTAGATATGGCAAACACCAAGGTACGCTTTGATTTTTAAATAGTTTGTGTTAAGATTCACTGAATTAAAGTCTGTTTACACATTCAGATCAGCATTCAGGTTGTAAAGAGGCCAAATGCTGGAGTCCGATGTTGTTTTTAGAAGCAAACTTAACACAACAGCAGTAGCAACCATTCTAAACGATGACGCTTGTTGTCAAGGATCTATGTCTATGTCAAGAAGAACACGTTTGCTTAAACGTTCTCCCCGTTACTTAGAAGGTACAGAAAAGAAGCAAATAAATTTAGGACAGCCGCACTGAAAACAAAAACCAAACGGTTTTATTTAAAGAGGAAGTCACATCAAAATCAACATTTTAAACTGATAACTAGTATAAATGAGTGTCTAATAGTGTTGTAGACATGTGTAGTTATTATTTTAGCATTTTGATGCATTTTCTTTGAAAACTCTAAATTCTGTCTAAAAATGTCAGTCTAGTGCCCTCTTTAGCTCAAAAGTATAGAACACGCTTTTAGCCAACGGCTAACGAGAACAATGCTACGTATCTAAAAAGAAAAGTACTATGTAGCAGCTCTGTGGCTGTAGGTTATAAAAGCACCGTGGTCTCCACCAGCCTTGTAGCAGTCGGGGCTCGGATTAGCCGCTAGTGAGTTGTGCTGTAGTTAGCATTAGCTTTGTGTCAGGATCCCAGCAAAGCTTCTAATATTATAATTATTTAGTTTTAGTAGCTTGGCTGTTAATATTTCAAAAATTTTCAACAAAAAAAAAAAAAAGTTTCAAAAATCTGCAAGAACATAACAATAATGTAGTATTGGAATATATTTTTTTAATTTATTCTGAAAACTCCTAAACATAACAAAGCCTCTGCAGGAATTAGGTTTGAGAGTTTTCCCAGATCTGATCAATTATGTGCCGTACATTCCACTGAAAATGATGTTTTTGGACGACTGAAACTATAAAGCTAAAACTTATGCTGTAATGATCTGGAATAAATCTTTAAAAAGCCATTGAGCATTACACTCACCAGATACGTTTTCAGAAACTCTTCCTAGCCGAAGCTTTGACGGTTTCTGGTTTTACATTAGCATCCAAACGGGGATGGCAGTGTTCTGCTCATTTTAACCATGGACGATCACCTCTACTCTCTGGGTTTAACACCAGTGCTTATTGGTAGCAGAATATTGCTGGTACTGGTGGTACTGGATGTGAGGATAAGGGTCTGTCCTGTATGACCAGAGGGAAACGAGGAGGCTGTTTTTATTTGTACACCTGAATCTACAAAGAAGCTCCCTAATGAAGTATCCATGTTTGTGGTTTAGAGTGTTTAATAAAGCCTTGTTTGTGCTTAGTGACCATTTCTGCCAGCTGCAGCGCATTTCCACATGTTTTATACAAACCATATGAAGTGCTTGAAGTGAAGGTTCAGTGATTGCATGTCCGGGTTTCCTGGATGTCCCACATTCTTATCCTGCTCGGTCCCATCTGGAGCTGATGGGAGCGTTTGCTTCAGCGACGATGGGTTTTGGCCCGCTGACACTGTCCCAGTCGATTAGCTGTGGCCCATGTGATAATGAAACCCTTGCCTCTGTTGATTTAGTTACTTCCCATCTGATTCTCCCTGCTATTCAGAGGTTTGATACGCACAGTAGGATGACAGGGTTTTATTTTCCTCTTTATTATAGCTTTAGGAAAATAAAAAAATCACATGCACAGTCTCCTTATACTCAATCTTCACGTGGTTTAGTTACCTTACTCTAAAAGGCAGGAAAAATAATTGTTTTTCAAGCCTATTTTTTGTAAATTTTCCACAAAACCATACAATTTCTCAACTATTTGAATTGTTATTAATCATTTCTGGTTAAATGCAGCCAATCCAGAAATCTGTGCTCCTTCTGCTTGTTGGAGGTCCCTGACATGCTAGTGTTCTCCCCAGATGCATTGTTTTGTTCTTCGCTCTGCTTGTCCTTACCATGCACTTGTTTGCTGATAACGCCAGTCTGCTTCCTTTTGGACATTGGCAATTTGTTGTCCCAAACCGCTGGGGAAGAGGGACCAGGTTGGTTCAGGAAGGCGAGCGGCTCGTTCCACCTAATTGTGAAGCTCCTGTGATGAATAATGGCTCATTTTAGCGTTATTCCACAGAGCAGGGTAGTAGTTGAGCCATTCAGAGCCCATTTGCCCCCATATTGTCAGTAAGTATCTCACCATAAAACTTTACAGCTTAGCAATTTGCAATTCCCTTTAGCCGTAAAACATCAAGGCGTAGGCAGCTCGACTTAATTGGTCTTTAAAGTTGTGTTTAAAGTTTCTGACAGTGAACAGACAGACCTGCTTCCTGATCCACACATACCAACGGTGTTCAGTCAGCCTCTGCTCATGCATGGCTCTGCTTTCTTGTGTGTTCTGTCACATAGCCGTGTGTCACGTCTGCCGGGCCTTTTGCAGCACAGTGAAGTGTTCCTCTTTGACCTGGCAGTCACCGAGGCCTCTCGCTGGGTCATCCTGCTTTAGAGTCATTTGTTAAGAGTAATGCTCCGCAGGACTCCTCCAGCAGAGGAAATGGCTGAAAGTTACTTTACAAGAAACTTTCTGTGAGCTGCGAAAGCTCAAGAGTTCGCTGGCTCGGTTTGAAGGGAAGTTCCATGCTGAGGAAGGCCAGAAGTTAGTGTTACGGTGTGATCAAACTAAGGGAGATCCCGCCGCCGTGCGTCCACATGAGGCGTGTTAAATCTACTCTTAAAGATGAAACTTTTTCCAGAGAATTTGGCACATGAAAAGATGAAGAACAACAGCTGTCTCATCACATTATTCATTCTCCGTAAGATTGCAAAAGAGATTAGTTGGTCTTGGCAACATTTATCTCGTAAAGCCTCCTCCTCACCATTACCAGCTTTTGACTCTGGAGATTTTCTCTAAATACTAAATGAGTTTGAATAAGGGCAAATGGTGTCAGTGATCCAGGCTGGATCAACTCGTAACATCACAGTCTTCATTAGAAACCAGGCTCAGGAGTTTTAAACTAGAAGCTTTTGTTGTTTTTGTCCTCCTTCCAGGGACACACGGCTATGCTGAACTGTGGCTGCTGGCATCCCAAGATTAAAGAGGAGTTCATGACCTGTTCCAATGATGGGTACGTGTTTTATGTAATACACACGTTATGAGTCCGAACTGAAAACCTTTTGCAGCCTCATTGTGTTTGTTGTGCTGGCTTCCACATGCAAGACTATAACACTTAAAGCCATACTATGCATTTTTTTTGTATTTTGAAGGGATTTTCTTGAGCCAGTATGTGCAAGAATGATGCTTTACAGAGTTGACGAGAAGTCACTCAGACCGCTACTGCCCTCTGTGGACATAATACCACATTTGCAGCTACAGTGTGGCGGGCCGCCACTTGTTGGACGAAAAAATTAGCTGACATACCTGGCGCTGCATTCTGCTTCCAGGACGTTTTCTGCACGTGTCCGATCATGAACACTCCTATAGACACTAAGGAAGGCTGGGGAGACATTTCAGCTGTTAGATTAGGTGTTTAAAAAGAGGAACGCACAGCGAGGAGATTTTTGGTTTGACCACAGAGAAATAATAATGGCCACTAGAGGGTGCTAAAAGCAAGCAAAACAGCCAAGTGTTCCTTTAATACATTTCCTGCTTCTCCTTCCTACTGGTTTAAAGCTGAATTACAATCATCGTAAACAACCCTCCGGCAGCTTGCTAACAAAATGCTAATGCTAACACTAGCCAACTGATACTAAATAAGCCACAAAGTGAAAAGATCTACACTGTTGGACCAAAAATACCCAATAGGCCAGTAGCAACAAAGCCAGGTCACCATCAGTCCATGATTTTTTAGCCTCCTTTAGCTCCCTCCAACGAGTGTAGGCTGTGCCGATCTTTACTCTGGTTTTAGCTCTTTGCTTTGCCTCTAAAGACATTAATCTCTTACCTTCACGTCCAGGCTTTGCCATGATGCCAACAGTCGGTAAACTGAAAAAGCTAACTGCTAGCATTTGTATTGGCTACTGACACAGCAAACAGCCATTGCCATACAGTAGATAGAGGTCTTTCACTGGTTCCAGCCCCAACCACTAAGGTTGTTTAGTCCAGTTTCTAGTCCACAGAGTGCTGTCTAATGGGAAGTTGCACAAGTTTAAGGCTGAAGGACCACTTAAACCGGTTTGAAAGCAGTAGCTTAAAGTGTTAAAAAGTATTATGTGCTGCTGTAATTAAGTTAAATATTTTGTTTCTTAGCTTTAGGTGAAAAGGCAAACATCAAGTAGCCTGACAGCACAAAGAGAAATATTCAGTTCTAGAGATCTGCTGTGCTGATTAACTTCCACAAAAAGCACAAATTGTCTCATGATCATTAAATTTGTTTTTATCTGGTAAAACGTCTTTATAATTGGATTTTATTACTCTAACACCATTAAACTTACTTTACAAGTATGATTGTTTCTGTAACAATATATTCCTGATGTTTTTTATGTCCAAAGCAGCGGCTCTCACTGTAGGAGTTTTGTTTTTGTTGTGTTTGTCCTCATGTCCTCTGTCTCCAGCAGAGTCCACTCGTCCAAACTCTGAGCCATGTGGTCCACTCTTGCACTGACACAAGTCACTTTTGCTCAGACTTACCACTTTTAGATGTTTGCTGCAGAATAACAACAAGTGATACATTTCCTTGCATGAATAGTTCAAGTTTTTGTTTCAGATAGAAATTTAGCAGTTTGGTCACTTTTTAAAAGCTAAATCAGACCAACACAGTATCAGAAGGAATAACTTTTTGACCCAGGTGAGCAGTAATAGTCGTGTGTGTGCATGTGTCACAGTACAGTGATGCGTTTAACTGAGTGTGACAGGCAGCAGCGCAGAACCCTGGGGTTATCATCATTAAGTGGAAACAAGGGTCCAGCTTTGTGACCCAGCCACAGACCGGTGTTTACCAGTGTTACTGCACCTCCCAGATGTGGATGTTGGTTTATTTAGCTCTTATGGAGTCTCTGGAAATCCTCCCCTGGCACGTCAGCTCTGGGTGTTGCCTCTGGTCCGCTCACAGGAGAGCAGCGCTCAGGGAGCCATTCACAGGAATAGAGCAGCTACGTGTGGGACAGGGTCAGCGATGCAACCTCCAGAGGTGGGAAGAGTGGGAGGGTCAACAGTGATTAGGGTGTTTAATCTTTGAGAAAATCCTCGTTTTGCAGTTTTAAGAGAATGTTCTGGGCAACCTTATGGTGAACCTGATGTAAAAATATTAGTCAATTTTTTTTTACATATCCCTCAAGCCTGCTGCTTCAATTCTGATTCTGTCTCAGGAAATAGAAATCTAAAATATTTAAGAATATATCTCCTTATGTATTTGTGCCATCACCACATATGAACATCAAATCACTGGTAAATAAATCTTTATTCTGAAATCATGGAATATTTCCGCAGCCTGTTACCATAAAGCAGGCTAAAAAAATGGCAAATCATGCAAGTTCAAAGTGGGTGAACAAAGGTCAAATCAACGTCTCTCAATCAGACTAATTAGAAGCAAACTCTGGTGGAGCAGGTGGAGAAGTCAAACTTACATGTTATAAATCCACTGAAGAAAAAAAGCTGCTGTGTTTAGTGGCGAAAAGCGTCACAGATATCAATACAAGTTTGGACCGCTGCAAATGTTGAGGTTAAATTGTCCTAAATGTGAAACTTTACTTCCTCCCTTAGAGAAATGAACAGAAGTTGGACTTTGAAACTGACCGTTACCGCAATCGAAGACGCAAGAAACATTTTATAAGCCATTAGTTGAGAATTTGATTTTAGTAATCTTAAAAATAAGAAGTCGTAGTTTTTGAATGTGTCGAATGGCTTTGACCCTTTTTGTAGATGTGGTTCACTAAAAAAACATTTTTAAAGAGCAAATTGCAGGTAAAATGTTTTTTCTAATTCATATAAAATACTGTCCAAAAATACTATTTGAAATGCTTATTGTGGATATTTTGTTTTAAAATACATAACAGCAGTTTTCTAGTAAAAAGTGACCTTTCTTAGCAAAGCTTCTAAAAAGGCTCGTTTTTTCTAGATCTGAACCTCTGATGTAACCAAAGGGAGTTAGAAGCTAGGCGCTGCCTCAGCTCAGTGTGGAGAGTAGTTTTAGAGTAGAGAGGCCATGTTGTCGACTCAGTGTGTGTGTTTAATAGTTTTGGATTGTGTTCATTTTGATAAACTATTGTTTGTGAAGGCTGTACCAACTCCAGCCTGTCTGGACATCGAGTCCACAGGTTTCCAGATGAGTGAAATAACGCCCCTATCTCCGTGCCCGAGGGCGTTTTGTTCAGCTGAAAAGTCGGACTTCTGCAGCCTACATCGGTCGGTACTGGGACAGGGAGGTCTGCGCTGGGCTCCAGAGACCCGTGGTGGGGTTGAAAAAATTAAATGTACTGTAGATCTCTGGAGCTCAGATCACCATCAGAACCAGGTCAGAACCGACCACCAGAAGAGATGTGCGGCTCAGCGGGCCAGTGGGGGTGGTTTCTGGGTCGGAACCAGATCAGAACCGCCATCTGGACCACCAAGAGAGAATGTGCGGCTTTAACCACCTCAACTGGCTCGCTGATGTCTGGGTCAGATCCAGCTCACAGAAGCCCGCATGAGCTCCAGAACCAGATGACAGGCGTCTCTCTTCCTCTCTCTTAAGTGCTAAACTACGTTACGTGAACGGATATTAACGATCATGAGACAGCTGACAGACGCTCATTAATATTAATATTATATTAACAGTGATACTATTTTAATTGTCTGGTACATGATAGTAATCTGTACAATATTGTGATGTGAGCACATGAGTTTAAGCTAGCGTCGTTAACTCACCTGCTGCTCCCCCGCTGCTTCTCCTCACATCACAGCACAATCTCTCAGCTTTGGCCGATGGTTTCTCCCTTTGCTTTGTCTCTGCTCTCCGGGACGTGCAGCAGACTCATAACTTTATGGTCTTGGTCCATCAGAAGTAGAATTATAAACATTTAAAGTTGCCTCTGTGCCAGAGCCAGCATTAGAATCCATATTTTTCTCTGGATTAAGCTAACCAGACTGCCTCAGCTGACGTCACTTGGTTTGGCAAAAAAATAAAAAATAAAAAATAAATAATTTCCTCACAAAAATAACTCCAAAAGCCTAAATAATTCATGTATTTGTAAAAAAAATTTGAAAACGAGTTTCTATTATGTTTCTCTAAACATTGGTTCATGGGAGTCTCTAACTTGGAATTTGCTCTTTAATGATGATTTCAGATCATAATCGTTCACTCTAAGTTTTTCATGCGGGCTGAACATGAAAATAGACTCCTACACTTATTTCCTGCATACTTATCTCCTGCATTAGCTTCTGATTGAAAACAATCTAAGGTTAAAAACAGCCTCACAGATCTATGTCACACTGTCACTTAAACATTCATGGACTCACCCATCATGACTCAATAGGGAAAGCTGTTGTTGGTTTAACGTTCAGAAATCAGCAGAGGACATCTTGGCCAGTAAAGATCTAACTATTAGCATTAGCAACTTCACCACAAGGCAGGAGCTCCTCCAGGTTTGTGTTATTTATGGAGATAAAACATCCATGTTGCGAGTTATTGGTAGAGTCACATTGCTATCATCAAATCTGAGGAAAGATATCTGAATATCAGGAAAAAAAACTCGTAAAACCTGTCTGAAGCTCAGCTGTGATGTGGGTAAGTTTTAGGTCCTAGAAATGGTGCACCAGTTTATTTTTTCCCACGGAAAATGACTTTTCAAGGCATTCATTCCTATAGAGACAGCTACGAACGCCACTGGCTTCAGATGAAGGTCACACACAGTTAACCGCTTTTGCAACCTTCAAAACCTCCGCTCGCTAAAACCAACTCCCCCCAAAGACACCCACCTGTCTATGGGACTTTGGAACTGCCAATCAGCTGTAAACAAAGCAGACTTCATTACCGCATATGCAAACCACCTGTCACTCGATGCACTGGCTCTCACTGAGACCTGGATCAAACCATGTGACAATGCTACCCCATCTGCCCTCTCAATTAATCACACTTTCTCCCACACTTCTCATGCATCTGGCCGAGGTGGTGGAACGGGCATGTTAATTTCCAACAAATGGATATAGTCA